AATAACACGAACGTCGTCCTCCTACTACATACGTTAAGTTAGTGGTTGAAAAGGTTCTCCAGTGAGGACGAAAAAGAAGGATGAAAAACTCGAGAGGAGAAGTACAAGATAAGAAGTGGAAGTTAAAGAAGAAAAAGATGAAGAAGTTGGAAGGAGAGGGAGAAACGAAAGAGGTAAACGAGAGAAGGATGAGAAGAAAAGAGGATTAAGAGAAGTAAGGGCCAGGGTCGATCCTGCATACGGTCAGCAGTGGTCAGCAAGGGCACCGTGCCAGGCAACTGCAGACAGGCCTTAAGCTGCCTTCACAATGGAAACTCGCCTTGAATAGAATGTTGGTACAAGCGTTATATCGTTCGTTAAACATTCACCCGAAGAGTTTCTTTGTTTCGATCCATTCTCGATCGATGCTGTGGGAACGGGTGAGCTTAATTATGTTTAATCGTTGAAGAATAGAAATTTTTATTATTTTTGATGCTATATCAATGTAGAAGAATATTTCAAATATTCGCAACTTAAACATCGAGTTTCTAATCTCTATTGAAGAACGTATTCGTAACAAGTTAATTTTTTTTTTTTTAACTAAATATATTTCATTGCAAAAATTTCATCAAAATTTTAGCAATTGTTTAAAAATATAGAAAAACTTAATTTTACATTTTTTGCATTTATTATTATTATTTTTTTTTTTTTCATAAAATTAGGCAATGAAGACGAATTTAATAAAATTTATTATTGGAATGTTTAATATCATTTCGCTGAATCAAGGTAAAATCCATAAAAAAAAAGTTGAATATTATAATAATTTGTACCATTATGGAAAAATAGACAAGTATTCGACAAATAGGATACTCAATGTTTATATCTTATCCATAAAGATGGAAGGAAGGATACACTCACGATGAAAGTTTTCGCGAGTTTCCCCCGCGAAAGTATATCCGTTTCGTCGAAATAAGATCGTTTGAAAAGCTAGGATACTTGAAAACGACGATATCAGGTAGGACATTACGTCTTTGAACCGTTAAAAGCTTCCCGAATTCTCAGAAACTTAAAAGTTTCGAGACTATGGAAGGTCTTAATCCCGATAGTTTGAAAGTCGAGGAGTTTTTCGAGTTTCTCTTGGAGAAAGAATCCGAAAATCTCGGTTGCCACTGAAAATGGTTTCCAGTGCGCATACAGTAGAAAATTTTAAAAATGTCTTTTCGCGTGCTTCAAAATAATTGTTAAATACACGAAATAAAAGATGTAGTAAGAAATTATGAAGAGAAGAGGATTAAATAAGAATGGCTAATAATAATTAATCTTTGAAAAATATATTTGATAATTTTAGAAATTTTTTAAAAAATATTTAAAAAAAAAATAATTATTTTAATTAAAAGATATGTTTAATATTTTTTTTTTTTTTATCTAGATTTCATTAGAACGATTCCAAAATGAAAAAATATTTGTATTTGCGCACTATTAGGATATTATATCTTATATTTTTTGAACCAAATAATTGAATTCGAAAAAATATTTTGTAACTACATTTCTCCACGAGAGACGGAATGCAACAATTTCTGTGCTTCTATTATTTTAGCGGAACTATTTTAGACCGGCAAACGTAACACAATCTTCCAATTATTTCGAGCAGTGTCCGTTTATTGTCTTTGCAACCAACAAGCAAATGGAACAAGTCGAATCAGCAAACGACAAAGAGGAAAAAGTTCCGTGAAGAAACAAGCCTTAAACAACAGCATCGCTCAAAGAATTTAACGCAAGAGAAACGCATTCGCATATGTTCTGTTCAAAAGTCAAATGATCAAGTCTTTTTAATAACCATTTAGTTACTGAAAAATATCGATTATACATCTTAATGCTAAAAATTGAAAAATTTTCAAAAAATGCAATTAGATCAATTTATCTTTTAAATTATCTATATATCCTTTCATTCTTTCAGTATTTTTAATTTACATTTTAATAAATCTTTGTAATATACACTTTCAATCCAAGAAAAAAAACTATAATATAAAACTAAATAAAAACTATAATATAATTTTCTTATAAGAAAAATATTTAAGAGTATTTGTAATCAGATCCCAATTATAAAAAGGGAATATCAATCAATTATATATCTAAAATTCAAAAGTTTTCATAAAACATAAAGTTAATTAATTTTTCATGTATAAATAATCCATATGATCTCTCATCAACATCAGATTTTCATTATTTCTAATTTACGTTTTCCTAACCTCTATGACATACACTTCCAATCTAGAGAAAAATCTAAAGAAAAAAAGAAAGAAAAAAGATCAGCGCAATTTTCTCATCAATTGAATAGCGTTCCTTGTAGAGAGGGTATTTAAGCTGGACATTATAATCAGATCCCAGTTACAAAGGCCGCCTTAACCGAGGGAACATAGGCCGAGGCGAAGCCAGCCAGATCTCAAGGCAAAACATACAAAACGATAGCTCGACAAGCCCGAGCAAGGAACCACGGTGCATGCCGGGTACTGTAGGAGTCGGTGAACAGGCGAGTCGATCAGGCCGGGCATCACGCCAGTCTTCCAAAGTCTTCCTTCCACCTTCGCGACGCTCTTCGCCGCTCTCCATTGTGCCACGGTTATTCACGGTAATAGAACGTCTCTCGATATGAGACGTTCTCCACTATATCGCCTCCTTTCGTCCCGTTTTTGAGCTTCGTTGTTCGAATCCCCGAGTCTCGTTCGATGGAAAAGAGAGGAGGAATGGTTTCCACCGAACCTGCGGCCACCACCACTTGAACACAGGTACGAGGAAGATTGTTCGCGGGATCGACGAGTCGAGAATAATTCTGTGCAGGTAGATTTGGATAGAGATGAGAGACAGAGAGAGAGAGAAAGAGATCAAAGGTTTATTGAAGTTTGTTTTGAGTGGGTAGTAAAGAGGTTTTGTGTGCGTAGTAATTTCGAACGCGTTTTAGGTTAAGTTAGTAAGGTTAAGTGTTAATTATGTTGAGAATATTATCGGAATTTGTAACTTTCTCGATTATTTAGGCTTGTCTATAGGTAAATTAGGTTATTTTATTAATGCAGGAATTGCGAATTCTTTATTGTTATTGTGTATTGTGGATGGATATGCGCATATATATGCTGCAGCGTTTCTAGTAGATTGTATTAGTAGAATGAATTGGTAGATTTTTTTTTAACAACGTCGATTTTTTAAGCGTAGGTTTTGCTAATAATATAGGTTCTTCGTTTCAGTATCATTTGAGCACTGTTTCCTTTATCATTTACTTTAATACACGTTTGAGCAAATTTTCGTGCGATTTTTGTTTCTTGCATCCATTTTCCGCATTCGATCAATGGAACGGATTTACTTTTTTTCTCACGCCTCTTTTTTTCTCTTTTTTTCATTCTTTTCATTCTTCCAATGCCAATTATTCACCGAAAACGCTTCTTAACCATGCATCAACATGTACAAACGCCGAAACATTCTCTCGCTTTCCAGTCTTATCTATGGTGAAATAATTCGGTGTCAAGATTAATAAAAAAACGTGTCGTGGAAAAAAAAAGAAAGAAAACAAACCTTCGTCACACGTTATATTCGTTACAACACGCGCACATGTACATCTCGTTTGCCATTTTCAATTTTCTAATCATTCCATTTCAATGATCATTGTTAAGCTTAAAAAACTCGAGCTTAAAAAACTTGTCAAGCCTAATAACATACAACCATTTCATGATATCAAATATTTCGATATTTACATAAATCTAGCTCAGTGGTTCCCAACCTGCGCGCCGTGACCGTTGCTCTCACTTTCCATTTCAATGATTTTTCACGCTCGATATTTGCGTCGATATTTTATATAATAATTTTTTTTTTTTAAATTTTCCTTATCGCAAATTTACTCGAACAATTACGATTAGAAAAAGAATGGTCATGGAACACACGATTTGGTTTGGAAAAAATCTCGATCCCTAACCAAAGCTAGAAATGAGTTGAAAATGAATGAAACTCGATTTCAATAGAATAGAAAAAGTATATTGAATTTCAGAGCTCGATCGAATCGATCCTCGAAACGAGGCGAGCCGAATCGAGTCGACGCTACAATTTTTTCGTCAAGGTTTTTTTCCTCGTTTTTTCTCCGCACACCGAATTGTTCGCCGCGAGGGGAGAGAGCCAGTTTTCGTTTCTTTTCCGCGTATCCCTAACGAAAGATTGCATGCCTCGACAGAGCAACCAGCGAGCAGAGGGTGGGTGCAAGTTGGCGCACCAGCAAGGAGCCCACGGACTGGTTCGCGTTTCCGCCGGTGAACTCCTCGGCAGGACCCACGAGGAGTTGGTGCTCCTGCTGATCCAGCTACGCCGGCAGAACGCCACCATCTACAAAGCGATGGAGACCTGCCAGATGGAGATCGAGGCACAGGTCCGAACATTTTTCAGAAAGACCACCGTTTTCGCCCAATTAATTAAACGAGGGGATCACGTGTATGACGAAGGCTGCTCCAGTACCTAATCTTTCTCTCCTCTTCGACTCGCATCTGCGATTTTTTTACATCGTTTTTTTTTCGTTGCGCAATTCTCGCTTCGTCGACGAGTGTCGTTCGAGCGGATGGAGCTTTTTTTTTGAAGAAAGGGGGGAGGGGAGGGGGTATAGATTTTTGTGAAAATGATACCCTTTTTCTTTCAAATGTAAGTTTCGTTTCATCTTAAAAATGATATTTGAAAAATAAAAAAAATAAGCTCCATCTTGAACTACGCTTTAATCGTATCGTTTTCAACAAATTCAATTTTCGATCAACACATCATCTGCTCTTCTGAGTTTCGTCTCGAAAATTTCGTGGAACTTTTAAGAAGGAAGAAAAGAAAAAGGATCGATATTTTCACGGGGACGTTGATAGATAATCGCGATCGAGAATCCTGTTATCCGCGCGAAAAATGCCGCGCGGTTCACGGCGGAGAACCGGTTTCAAGGACATCGGTTTCGAGGAGAGGAACGTCATTAGAATAGGAACTTTCCTCCTCTGAAAAGAATTCCACCTTTGTCCTTTGATCGGCCGCATTCTCGAGTATGATGCTTCTTTTTTCTTTTCTTCTTCTTTTTTTTTTTTTTTTTTTCATACCTGATCGATCAAACGAAATTTCTACCATTCTAAAATTTCTTCGATGTCGTTTTTTTTTTCTTCTTGAAAGAGAAATTTTCGACAAATTTTGGATATTACGAACGAAATTTACGAATTTATCGCTTTCGAATAATTTACATGGAGTGAAAAAAAGAGTCAAGAAACGTGTAGTTTCGACCAGTTGCACAATTTATCGTTCTCACCTAACACACACCGACCTAATCGACTTTAAACCCATTTTACGTAAGATCACATTCACCTAACTCGTTTTATCCCGACTCGATTGCCCCGAGGCTATACGTACGTACTTTTCCGAAACAATCTGTACACGTACAAATATAATAATATAAACTACTTTTTCACGTAATTTTTATAATTCTAATTCGAGCAATCGGTTTTTATTTACATTCAATTGAATATGCGACTAATAATAATATACAACATCGGGTGTTTTTTGTTTTAACGAGAAGAAAGATTCTTGTTTCCATATGTTCATTTTAAATATGTAAAAAAAAGAAAAAAAAAATATAAATCAGAATTATACCATATATAATGTCCATATTATATTGAATGAAACAAGAGACAGGACTTTTATCTCTCGTCGTCATTATATGGATCATTTTTTCTTTCTCTTCATCTCGTTTCGACTCAAATTTAAATTGCTTATATAAAAAAAAAAAATTTATTCAAATTGTAAATACTATTTTATCGATACATTTAAAAAAAGAGGAATTAGATCTCTATTTTTTCAATTCCCTCTTCTTTTCTTTGCGTTGACCAGAATTCGAGTTTCAAAATTTTCGAATAAAATAAAAAAATTTTATTTTTCAAATAAAATTTTCCCTTTCCCCTTCATCGTTCCATCGAATGCACAAATGTTACTTTCGACACTTGTAGGAGTGTGTTAAAAGTTTGAACCATTCCTCATCGTGTTATCCCATTCTTTTTTTTTTTTCCTTTTCCTTTTTCTTTTTCTTCTCGTCGATCTCGGTTAGAAAGGTAAATTTGAGGCGCGTGAAGAGGCATACGACGTTGTTCTCCAATCTCGAGGATCGTAAGGTTAGTCGTCGCCAGGCTCGAATTTTATTATATCTGGATTCAGTATTTTTATCATGGTGATGACGATGTTTCTTCTTTCTTGTGTGCCAATTCTTCGTTCCGTTCTATCGTATTTTTCCACGTATAAAAATGGTCCTCGAATTTTCTCGACTTGTGAAAAGTGATTGGAATAGAAATCTCTAACTAGTGGAAATGAAATGGTAAAATGGTAAAATGATAAAATGGTAAAATGGTAAAATGGTAAAATGGTAAAATGGTAAAATGGTAAGTTTCGTTTCTTCGCGTTTCGTCCTCCTGGATATCGACTTTGTTCAATGTCTTCCGATGAAACTAGGAGCGTAGAATTCGCAGAGGAGGAGCACCATTAGAAAGAACTGATTGGTTGGACGGGAAATGTTGTTTTAAATCGTCCATCTTTTGTTGACCCGCAGGCTAGATTGGCAGAACTCGATACACCGCGACGATTGGAGAACCTTCAGAAGCTCGACGAACTGAAGAAACACCTGATGGATCTCGAGAAGCAGGTACGAAAAAAAACTTTCCGAACTTTCAACTTCGAAAATTTTTACTCTCGAAAAACGGGTCGCTTCTCTCGAAAATTTTTTTCCCAAGATATTTTTAAGCACGAGTCGTTAAAATCGAAAGATCGATACGATACGAGTGGCGATAATGAATTAAACGAAAGAAAATTTATTTCGACGGCCCATGCTTAATTATTCCGTCCGAGTTCCGGTGGCAAGTTTTTCGAGGATTTCGAGTCCGATTAATTGAGAAACTTGGCCAAGTTGATCGAAGTTGGAAATTCAATGCAACCTGTGTGTATATATATATATATATATATACTTTATCGTTAAAATCAAGTACGAGAAGGGCAAACCGCTGGTGAATTTGGTCGACAATATGGTGAAGTTGGGCTCCCTGTACAATCGCAACACTGCCAATGGGACCAACAGTGTATCCGGTTCACGACACGATCTGGCACACGACAATTCGAGGGATCATCGGTTGGAATTCAATCAGAAGGTGCAGGAGCAACGTTTGCTTGCCGAGGAGCGAAGGGACTGGGACCGATTGAGCCCCGACCATGGACAATTACAGGTATCGATCATCGAGTTATTTTAAATGGTGTTAGGCTTAACAGTCCTAATTGACGAGTTCTGATACGATTTGATAATTTAGTTTAGTTTGAAATGTCTACGAATTTATTGTAGGTTTATTATCTGAGGTAAGCTGAGAGTATTTATTAGAGGTTGAACACTATAAAATTTCAAAGTAATTTATCGATTGGTAAAAATGTTTGAAGTGTATTGTATCTCTAGAATAGGTTAGGTTATATCATAAAGTTTTTTAAAGTAAGCTACAATTATTTACTAAAGGTATATTATGAAATTTTTAAATTTAGTAATTTGGTAATATTTTTATTGTATTATGTGATGTATTTTATTTAAGATTATTAATTTGTTAATATTGGTAAAAATGTTTAAAGTGTATTGTATCCTCTAGAATATACGTCATAAAATTTCAAAGCTGCTGTTGATTGACATATTCAATGTGGAATCAAAAATACGACATTTTCCCAATGGGAAACGTCAATATTTTGATACGTACAAAAAAAAAGAAAAAATAATTATAAAAAAAGAAAGAAATGCAATCAAATCCAAAACGATTGTGTGACGATGCCATAGGTACGTCTATAACCTCATTGTATACTGTTAATTTCTCGAGGAGTAAGTAACGAGATATAAAATAATTTTAAAACTAAAAATGCAATAATAAAAATACGAATCTCCTATTTGCAAGAAAGTCAAGAAGAATCTGTGTCTGAAAAAAATATTTCTTTCTCCAGAGAGTAACGGAAATGGGAGAAAAAAGCAGATTGTCTACCAAGTTGCGATAAAAGAAGTAAGAAACAGACAGAATAACACGTTTGCTTTGATATATATATGTATACATCTCAAGAATTATTTTCCCTTTGTACCATAATAGATACTACTTTTGTGCACTTCCCTACAAATTACCTTACCTACCGAGAAAATGTCCTCATGATAAATACGAATTAGCGGGATCTTCCATAACGGTGCATAATACCGACCTGGAAAATCGAGAACGAAATAAATAAGGAGACGACGCGTGTGGGTTAGGAAAATTACGAACTCGAATACGATTTAAAGATCCTTTGTGTAGCTTTGTACGTTATTATTATGATTAATACGCGTCGAAATACGAGACGTTGTATTAAAAACCGCAATTTTTTCTTTTTTCTTTTTTTCTTCAACGACGATTACGACACAACGAGCATCGCTCGTTCTAGCGGAATCGCTAGATTCCGGTTGAAACGCGAATCCATTCCACGCTCGGGTGGAAGCTTCAAGGTTAACTCACAGCGCCGCTTGTGTGTCGTAGGCCAAGGTGCAGCAGCTCTACAAACTGGATCGGTTGCTCCAGGAGGAATCCGGAACACTTCACAGTCTTCAGCAAGACAAGGCGAGTAACGCGATCCTCCCGATCTGCGAAAATGCCAAAACGCGTCCAGCTCTGCTCATCTCTTTTTTCTTTTCTTTTTTTTTTTTTATTTTTTTTTAAAGAATGCTCTTTCTCTTCGCACTCGTGAATTATTAACGCAATACGTGACGAGTGTTCTATACGCATTCGTACTTGGAATTGATACGTTATAGCGCAAGATCACGTAATATTGGATCAACTTATGTTTTTGCTTTGCAATTGTTTAATTTGGTGAAATATATTCAAAGGATCATAAAAATGGTAAAATTGAATGCAATTTGTAAAAACTTCTTATTTGTTATACATAATATATAATATAAATATAAATTCCAGTGAATCGAATTCTATGAAGGTTATGAAGTCATACGATTTTTAAACTAGATAAAAGAAAATAATATAAAATTAACGACGAATCATTTTTATCCAGTGTTTACGAAATTTCGCTTACTTTTTCCAACGAATTAACATCCTCTCGATTTCCGTTTTACAGGAGATCCTGGAAAAAGCTCTAGGCGGCCTCCGGCACAAACTGCAAGGAAGCAGGAGCAATTTGGCCGAGGCCGAGAGATACAGGAAGCAACAGCTTCTGCTGGAAAAAGAGCTGAGCAGAGTGAGGGTGTTGTTGGCGCACAACTCGAAGGTAAGACGAATCTGAATCATTCTCAAGGAGTCTTTTGATTGGCCGGTTAAACTAAAGCCGCGTTTTTAAAAAAAAAATTCCCTTCCTACCTTTAGAATTTTAATCTTTTCGAACTCGAAGCGCAGGATAAAATCGATTTCGCGCGGATTTTCTATTCGACGACGAAATAATTCAATCGAAAACTTTTCTTTCGTCCGAATTTCGTTCCATTTTTCGAAAAGAATGAAGAATTTGTTCCAAAGTGAAAAATAATCAGGATTTTCTCCTCTTGTCGAAACAATATATATATGTATATATAGAATATATATAGAAAGTAGAGAAATAGCATGCATCGTGCGGTTGTTAAAAAGAAATTGATTTAATCGTCCCATTCATTGTTTCCAGGTAAAGCCGGTATTCTTCCAGGTAAATGAATCAAAAGCACAGAAATAGATAAATTTCCGTTTCGTTCTGCTATCGTATCGTCGACCTTAGCTTGTCGAACTACTACTGGCACGCGTCAAGGAATAATCTTCCCCCTCCCTCGTGTCTCTCTCTTTCAGAAACTCGAAGAGACGGTGGCCGAGAACGCGAGATTGGAACAAGACCTGGTTGTGCTTCGGCAGAAGCTTCAAGCGTCGAGAAGATACGCGGGGAACGTGACCAGGGACACTTCGGCAACCACTGGCCCCCTCGAAGCGGAATTGAGACGGGTTCAACAATTGGTCGGTGATTTGCAGAGACAACGAAAGGAATTGAGTATTCAAGTTAGACAGCTCACGGAGAAGTCTCATAACTTGGTGCAGCAGATCCGACCGCAACCTACTTCTGGTGAGCTTTGCTCTTGTTGCCCAGCCACGGACAAAGATTAAACGTTAAATCTAATAAAAGTATAACCGGATAAATTAAAGAATTTTAATTCAATATCGCGTTTATCTTTTTAAATCTAATTAACCGAATTATTAAGAGATATTCATAAGAGAATGAGTCCTAGTGGAAAACATTTGAACAATTGAAAGATGAAAAATGATACTTGATAATAATATCAAAACTATGTCTGTGTTTATTCTTTAAATGAATTTTAGTTTTTAAATATTGAAAATGAAAATTTAGATGGAACAAAAGGAAATATTGATGTTATTTTTTAAATATCAGGAAAAAAACAGGTTACAATAAATATTTGAACACTTTTTATAAATGGACGTGGCAAGTTTTATATTAGACTTCTCAATTACAAGTATTTTGCTTCAAACAAATTGTCATATCAACTTCATCAAAATTTTTTTATAATTTTATAGAAAAATAATCAAATACAATTCTAGTGTCTAAATTAAAGAATTTTAATATCATTTATCTTTTAATTGAATTAAACGAATTAATTCATTAAAATGAGCATCTCAATGGAAAACATTTGAAAGAAAATGATATTTGATAATAAAACCAAAACTATGTCTGTGTTTATTCTCTAGATGAATTTTGATATTTAAATATTGAAAATAAAAATTTAGATGGAAATATTGATGTTATTCTTGAAATTCAGAAAAACAGATTGCAATAAATACTGATCTAATTATTTTTCAAAAATGGACATGGCAAGTTTTATACTCAATTATAAAAGACCTCTCAATTAAAAGTGTTGTCAAATTTTAATATAAATTTTGTTTCAAATGAATCAAATTCAAAATTCTTCTATAATTTTATAAAAAATTAATCAACAAAATTAATACAATTCTAGTGTCTAAATTAGTATCTAAATTAAAGAATTTTTATTATCTTTTATCTTTTAAATTTAATTAACAAATTAAGAAAATTTTATTTTATTAAAATGAGAGTCCTAGTGGAAAATATTTGAACAATTGAAAAAAAATTATATTTGATAATAATATCAAAACTGTGTCTATGTTTATTCTGATAAATTTTACTTTTTATAAATGGACAAGTTTTATACTAGATACTCTCAATTACAAGTGTCAAATTCTAGTACAAATTTTACTTCAAATGAATTATATTAATTATATGTCAAATTCATCAAAATTCTTCTATAATATTAATAGATAATTAACCAATACAATTCTCTATCCTATATTATTTTGCAGCTCCTCAAGTGCACCAGCCGAAGAAGCGGACGCAAAACTCTTGGTTGGAGACCGATCTCGATTCCGGAATAACTTTGGATCACGGTTTGGATTCACCATCGAGTCCCGCATTATCCTCCTCGCCCCGTGGCAAGCAGAACGGCGGACCGTATCCGCATTTCAGTTCACCGACGCAGATCAAAGACTCGTCACCCACGAGTCGTCAGCAGCAAGCCAACCTGCAATCGTACCCTCAATCGCCCCAGAATCATATTTCTTCGCTCTCTCCTCAGTTACGTGAACAGATCCATCAGCATCAGCTGAAGCAACAGCTTCTCAAGGATCAGATGCAAGGGAAAGGAAGTCTTATACAAGCGAATGTCGCTCCTTTGTATATAAACACAGATTCTAGAATTCAAGGTGAGAAGAAGTGATACAATTTTTGGGGGAAAAAAAGGAATAATCAGTCTTTTTCAATTCAAAAACTCTAGGCGAATGAGTGAATTTTTAAAGCAGAACTTTTATTGAGCGTTGAAGCAGAGAAATGGAATTCAATGAGAAAAGTTTTGGCGATGAATATTGGATTTAAAGAATATATGAATAATGAGTTTTCACTAGGTATTTTGACTAACACGTAACGGTTAATTCTAATTTAACCTCTCTGCTTTTTAATGCCTGGTTTTTTTTATTTTTTCCTTCAATGAAAAATGTTCCATATTTAATTAACCTGTGAACTTGCATTAACTTGTTACTTGCACAATTTTAGAGAACAACAAGCAAGATGGGAATCTGACAAATGGCGTAATTCTTCCACCAGAGTACATTCCACCTCCACCACCGCCACCCCTGAACGAAGAAGCGTTGCTGAACGATAATTACAGACAGAACGAGGACAACAAGTTTACCGGTAAGCGAAATCAATAACGCAATTATTTGGCTTTACGACAATATAGATTGGTGACTCACTATAATTGTGTGTTTTCAAGGCTTGATCCACAACCGTGAGAAACAAGAGATTAAGACCGTGCGAATAGTGAAGCGGGAATCGGAAAGACGGCAAAGAGATAGAGGAGACAGAACTGGAAACATTGGAATTCCATTAACGAACGGGCTTCAGGCGCCCGGGGGTGCTAAGAGATTGTGCGACGATGATTTAGGAGGTTCTCAGAAGTTCGAGGTAATATCCTCGAGTCTCGTGCAGTACCTTTATCTTCTCTTTCTCTCTCTTTCTCCATTCTATTCTGAAAGAATGTTTGATATCTTTTTTAATAGATATCTATTTGACATTTCTTTTTTTCAAAAAATGTTAAAAAATACCAAAACATTATTTAAAAATTTAGAAGACAAATGTTCAATCCTGACAAGTAAAACTAAAAGATAAAGATATCAATTTTCTTTAGAATTTAGAAGCATTATTATTATTATTATTTAGACATCTATTTGACATTTCTTTTTTCAAAAAATGTTAAAAAATACCAAAACATTATTTAGAAAATTTAGAAGACAAATGTTCAATCCTGACAAGTAAAAGATAAAGATATCAATTTTCTTTAGAATTTAGAAGTATTATTATTATTATTATTTAGACATTAGAACTTCAGCAAACTCAATAGTGTATCTATTGCAGCGACGGTCAACGTTGTTTCAATTTTATTTCACTCTATTCCCAATCAATTTATTTTTAGAAGGCTCAATTAGGAAAGGTGGTAGAAGAGTCGCCGATGATTCACGCTCAAAGCACAGTCCAGTTGACGGACTTGGACGACGTGCAGTTCCAAAGAAGCATGTCCTTGCCGAGAGGTTTCGGCGGGCAACGGCTGCAACAGCCGGAGATCCATCAAGTTCCGGTTGTGCCTCCTCCTAGAAGCGATAGCATGCACGCCTTGAGAACCATGCTGGCGAGACGTAATAAGGTCAGGGTAAGTAATTCCAATGTTTCTCTAAATGCCGATGCGCCAATTAATCGATCAATGGATCTTTCATAACATTAACCCCTTCGTTGATCCATATTTTATTCCTCTCCCCCCTTAAATTCTTTTTACGTTCGATTAATTTTTGAAAGCATCATTCATTGTGCTAACAATTTATATTTTTCTTACGTGAATAACAATCAAGTGCTAAACTTTTATTTTTTTTATTTTGCACGTTACGTTTACAATTGTTCAATCATCTTTCATATTGTACGATATTGTTGTATGAAACTCTTAATATACTATACGTAATATAAGTATACTATATATACTTAATATAATATACTATACTATATAATTAATATAATATACTATACTCTTAATATACTATATTTTTGATAGAAAAAAAAATAAATAAAACAAAAAAACGACAAACATCGAATTTAAACTTTTCGAATAGGAATTAAAATTTTCCAAAAATTTTTGCTTCACGTCCTTTATAAATAAAATCTACCTATAGATATAGTATACTATACTATAGCGCGCAGCGCATCGGCTCGATCAAGGCCAAAACTGACGAGCGCCCAAACACGAAAAGCACCAAAAGTATCTCGATGATACGCACGATTTCACGCATTTTTATTCTTTCTTCTTTTTTTTTTTTTTTTCATTGGTTTC